ACTCTTGCTCTGTCGCTTGGGCTGGCGTGCAGTTGTTCGACCTCGGACTCAAGCAATTTTCCTGCATCAGCCTCCCAAGTAACTGGGCTTACAGGGGCCCACCACCATGCTCGGCTAATTTTTATTTTTAGTAGAGTAGGAATTTCACCATGTTGGCCAGGCTGGCCTCGAACTCCTGATCTCATGTGATCTGCCCGCCTTGGCCTCCCAAAGTGCTGGAATTATAGGTGTGATGTTTTGAGAGTTTCAAGAGTACTTATATATTCAATACAGGAGTCCTTTTTTCAGTATACAGTTTTCATACATTAACTCCAAGTCTATAGCTTGTCCTCTGGTCCCCTTAACAGGGTTTTTCACCAAGTAAAAATTTATAATTTTGATGAAGTTCAATTTATCAGTTTTTCCTTTTAAGGATAAAGCTCAAATATCTTCGTCCATGCTTTTTTCTAAGAAATGTATGATTTTATGTTTTAAATTTGTGTGCAATCTATTCCTAGCTAGAGGAATCAGACAAGAGAAAGAAATAAAGGGCATCCAAATCGGAAAGAAAGAAGTCAAATTTGTTTGCAGATGATATGATCTTATATTTGGAAAAACCTAAAGACGCCAACAAAACTGTTAGAACTGATATACAAAAATTACCTGGAATTGTCCACTCTTGGCATATAGAAATGCTACTGGTTTTTGTATGTCGATGTGGTATCCTGTAACTTTACTAAATTTGTTTAAGAATAGACGTTTGGGTCAAGGTTCATTTTGTTTTGCCTATAGATGTTAAGTTTCTCCAGCTGTTTATTGAAATTGCCTTCGCACCTCTGTCAAATATCAGCTAGGTGCATTATTGTGTGTCTATTTCTGGATTCTCTATTCAATTTTTGGATTTATCTATCACTGTGCTAATATCACACTGTCTTGATTATTGTGGCTATGTAGTAGCCACAATAATCTTAATGTGGGATGGAGTGATTTTTTTCACCTTATTCAAGATTGCTTTAGCTATTCTAGGGCCTGTACCTTTAGATATCAATTTTAGAACAAGCTCCAAAAATACCCTGCTGCGATTTTGATAGGAATTGCTCTAAAACTGTAAATCAATCAGGAATGTTGACATATTTACTATGTTGTGTCTTCCAATGCATAAACATGGCATGTATTTAGGTCTTGATTAATTCCGTGCATTATTATTTTGTGCTTTTCACCATACAGATCCTGTACATATTTTGGTAAATTTATATATAATTATTTCATTTTATTTATGTGATTTAAATGGTATTTTGTTTTTAATGTCATTCTCCATTTTGTTCATTGTTGATATATAGGAATGAAACTGATTTCTGAGCATTGACTTGCATTCTATGAACTTGCTGAACTCACTTATTAGTTTTAAGAATTTTGCTTTTCTTTTTAGATTTCTTGGGATTTTCTACATAGGCAATCATTACCTCTGCAAATAGAGACAGTTTCATGTCATTCTTTCCTATCTGTAGGGCTTTTATTTATTTTTCTTGCCATATTACACTGGGTGAAAATTCCAGTTACAGTTGGGTAAAAGTGGTAAAAGCAGAAAACTTTTCCTTGCTTCTGATCTTAGATGTAAAGCATCTAATTGCTCTCCTTTACATATGATGCTTCTTGTAAATTTTTGTACATGTCCTTTACAAAGTTAAGGAAATTCTCCTTTATTTCTAGTTTGCTGAGAGTTTTAAATTACAAATGGGGGTTGGATTTTGTCAAATGCTATTCCTGTGTCAGTTGATGTGATCATATTATTTACAAAATATTGTTGAGATGGTAATTTACACTCTCTGACTTTCTAATGTTGAACCAGCAGTTAGTAGTTACTGCTATTATAAGGGTGGCTTAAATGAGATAGTATTTTTTCTTGTGTTACCCGTAGAGGATCTTGAATGCAACTTGTCCAGGTTCTTCGTGTTTTGAACAAAAAATTGGACAAAAGAAACAGCAAAGCAGGAAAGAATGAAGCAATGAAAGAATGAAAGCAGGGATTTATTGAAAATGAAAGTACACTCCACAGTGTGGGAGTGGGCCCCAGTAGCAGCTCGAGGGCCCCAGATACAGAATCTTCTTGGGTCCAAATATGCTTCCCAATGGTCACTTGGCACTCACCTCATGTAAATGAAGGGATGGCCCACAATCAGTCTGATTGGTTGCAGAAAGTAACCAGTCAGAGGCTCAAGTGAAGTTACACAGTTGGACTTCTATGCAAATAAAGACTTGGCCTGCAATCAGTCTGATTGATTGTGGACAGCAACCAATCAGAAGCTGAATTTACATAGTTACACTCCTATGCAATCATCTGATTGGTTGCAAAAATCAACCCATTAGTGGTACTTTCAATCTCCCATCTGCAGGTGCAGAAAAAGTGGGGGTATGTAAAGGGAGTAGCCTTTGGTCCTTTTGTTACTTAGGCGTGGGAAGTAAGGGTTTTCCTTTCAATTTAGTTCTAGGAAGTCAGCAGGAAATGGCCTTAGGCTCCCTGCCTCCACACCCTATTATCCTGCCTCACTTGCAGCAATGCCTGTTAATATAACAGTATAGTGAAGGTGTAGGTAATAGTAAAGTATAGTAAATTCTATATGCATAATAGGTACAATTTCCCTCCCTGGGCCAAGCTTTTCTCTGACCTCTACACCATCATAGCCTTTTAAATTCCCAATTCTTGCACTATATTCACCTGGATAAGGCCCATTTTCAAGGTAACCCTGAAGTGCATGAAGATATTTATCTCCTACCTGCAACACATCCTGTCCCCATCTGAGTGAGAGGCGTGTAGACCAGTGTTTCTCAAATAAATGTCCACTGATCATTTGCATCAAATCTTTAGGGACAGAATCAAAGGATGTGCATATCTGTTAAGCTGCTCCTGAGATGTTAACGTGCACTAAAATTCATGAAACAATCCTCTACATCATCTGTGCCTTTTCACATATGGTTGCCTCTTTCCATGTGCAGAAACAAAATGCAGCTTCCTCTAAGAATCTGTCCCTAATTTCATGTTCACTACCACCAGCAGATGCAGCCTTTCTGTTGCTATAGGATGAATAATATGGGGAGGAATCAAAATTGAGGTGCAAGAGAGTGTTGCGGTGCACTGGAAGTCAGCAGCTGAATTGGAGTGGTGAGAAGGACCTAGGGCTTTTACTTGGAATTTGTGCACTTGAGGTGAAGTTGCTAAAGGGGGTGGGGGAAGGGGTCGGAAAATCAGAAAAATGAGAAGGAGGTTGGGGGAAAGCAGCAACAAAACAACTCCTATGTTTTTCCCTGATTGGGAAATAAATTCATCACCACGGGTATTAGCTGCCAGCCTCTCTTTCCAATGTATCACTGTGTAACTGAAATCAGTGGGTAACTGAGCACGCCCTGTTTAGACCTGCCACCTGACTGGCTTCTCTGAAGCAGCAGAACTGGTTAAGAACGTGATGATCCCTGAGAAGTTACGCTTATGCACAGAACCGCTACACTTGCATCATTGTATCCATGTTGTTCCCTTCCTCTGGAACGT